AGGACTTAATGGGAGAAGGAAATTAGAAGGTAACACACATTAACACGACTATACCATTGATAGCTACTACATCAAAAACCGTAAAACAACCTCGGTTTAGGGGAACGAATAACAGACCAGGATGACAAATTATGGGTTACATTTTGATACCCTTTAAACGAAACTTTTGATTAAATTAAAAACACCTAAAACCTTGAGGCCGTTACCCAGACCCGGCTACCCCGTAAACCAAAAAAACGTTACGTAATAGACTAGAAATATCTCGAAGTGGTAAAGTAGAACAAACATACTAACCGTTTGGTTGAACCGTGGATAGACATGCGAGTATAAAAGTTGGGAGAATGACTAACCAACCGACCGTCTCCTCAAGACGGAACAGTCTAGAGGGTTCGAATAGACATCTTTGACCATATCCGAGCTACAACAAACATTACACGGCCAAAACAAAGGGAATGAGTTAGGTCCCTTCGTGAGAGAAGAGGAGTCAGGGAGGAAGTAAAAGTAAATCCAAACACCAGCCAAAGATTTAAGGTAGAAAGTGCCAAAGGGAAAATTACTAAAATACACAAGAAGACAGGGTGACGAGGGATGAAGAGGTATAACAGACCAAGTTATCTCGGTATTTACGTACCAAAAGTTGTGAGAACTCGCGGGTCTCGTTGCACCTTACACTATCTGGCTCTTCTCCACTGTACTATTTTTGTGGTCTTGTCATTGTTTACACAGCCTCCTGGAAAATTAAAATTCTAGTGAATAACACGACCTCAGAGGGTTTCACTCGTTGGTCACTTATGCTTAAGGACGGTTTCCTCTTAGTTCTCTCTTATGGTATTCAAAGTTGTGTCAGAGTCGGAATCTGCATTCGCAAACAAACTAACATTACAAATGATTAAAGATGGAATTTATAATAATACTTGATAAAAAGAATTCATAGAGGACTACGTGTTACTAAAAATAATTAGAAAAAGAATGAAAACAAAAATAAAAAAAAAGATTTAGAAAAAGAACAAAACCGACCGTACTAAATAGAAACCAATAAGAGGTTTAGAAACAAGAAAAATCAGTCATAGAAAGTTTATAAGCAAAATTTAGTAGACCTCAAAAAACAGTCACGGGACTGCCGGCACGCTACACCAATGGTCATAAATACATTACAGAGACATTCATCCTCAATAACCGACACACTTGCATGTATGAAAGTCAGCTAGTGTGTCACACAAACCCCCACCTAACCACAAGACATAACAATTGTCGCAACAATAACAAGTAATAGAAGTCCTAGGTCTCGCCGATACGCGGAGAAGTGTTCCTAGTTGGCCAAACCTGTTACTCGTGCCTTGCCATTCCTGACGACGCCCACAAACATAAAAATTAGACGTAACGGATATATAGAATAGCCCAGTGGTTCTTGGTTTAATAGTTCAGAAACAAACATTTTCGGCAACGGGATTTTTTGTAAATCTCCAGTACAGACGAAACCAAAATGGGTTGACCTTAAAGGTGGGGTAGGTAATTTTGGAGAAACCAGCTCGAGTGCGCTAGAATCTGAAAATACACAACCGGAAAAAATCTGCCACTTCCTTACAGAGCCCCTCCTCCAACACACACGAACGCGCACATGACCAATGAGGGCACGAGATAAGTTTGTGCACAGATGGAAGGCTGACAGGCAGGTAGGCCATCCAGTTATTTTAGCCGGCCCGGCTCAGATGATTGGTCGTGCTTTTTACAGCACTACGGCTTCCACAGATGACATTTTTTATGGATTTTTTGTCAAAGCACTTCAGATATTCATTGCTATCGGGATGTTAAGAGCATTCCATAGAATATAACAAAAAGTGTTTCTCGAGCCGGTTTCTCAAACTTACCACCTTTAAGTTATTAGAGAGACAAACAGAGAAAACATTACTCTTGTTAACTCTCTGCCCTTCATCTGTTGCTCATTGAACAGAGTCAGAAAACACAGATTCCTCACATGGAATGACTTTAATTATTTTTAACGGTTCCCCTCACCGCATATGCTTGTTATGAGAGGAGGAGACCTACGGATATTAGTCTCCTGTTTAAATCCTCCTGAACAACAAACACAGAAATAATCCCTACAAACTCCTTCTTTTGTTATTGTTTTGATTGAGCCAAAATAATTACAAATCGTGCATTCAAGACGTTCTAAGAGTTGCATGTGTGTGTGTGTGTGTGTGTGTGTGTGTGTGTGTGTGTGTGTGTGTGTGTGTGTGTGTGTGTGTGTGTGTGTGTGTGTGTGTGTGTGTGTGTGTGTGTGTGTGTGTGTGTGTGTGTGTGTGTGTGTGTGTGTGTGTGTGTTTTCTCCAGTTTGAAGGTATCCCAGTTCACCCTCATGTCGGCCGGTTTTGGGAGATCATTGAGAAATACAAAGTCACCAAGTTCTACACAGCGCCTACAGCCATCCGCCTGCTGATGAAGTACGGTCGAGAGCCGCTGCAGAAGTAAGAGCCTGCACGTTGCTCAGAAAAAAACAGATTTCCAGAAGCTAGAGCAGTCTGACTTTGAAAACACAGCTCGACGAGAAAGGTGCTTCAAGTCTTTTTTTTACTGCAAGGCCTCCTAGCTTTCATTTGGAAATGTCCATCTATAATTTCTGAAAGATCTCCTTCTGATCTAAAGTCTTATGTAACAGACTCCTCGGTGGTGAGGTGAAGAAAGTTCACTATTTGACTGGTGATTGATACCGAGTGAACATGCCTTTTTAATGCATTTCCCACTCACAAGAATCCTTAAACGCAATACCAAGTCAATAAAGATTTCAAAAAAACTCAACATACAAGTCTGTTCTCTTCTTAAAAGAGTCTTCATCAGCTTGTCAATGAAGAACAACATCAACCCTAGAAGACCGAAACCCACCTGGAAAACAGATATATGTAGTTTTCTTACCTTTTCGAACTTGTTTTGCTTATTCCAGCTGACAACCAATAAACAAACATATACTAAGCTGCTCTAATGTTGTTTTATGGACAACAATTTAAGGGAATCGTGCGACAATATGAGAAATATGCTCACGACTTTCCCTGGATGCACGTGTTGCTGGGATAGCAATCTAGCCTAGCTAATAGCGGTGATCATAACCACATAATGACGGAAAAGAAAAAGATATCTGATGGAATTATTCTCACCTGCTTCTACCAGGTACGACCTCTCCAGCCTGAGGATTCTGGGTACTGTTGGAGAGCCGATCAACCCGGAGGCGTGGCAGTGGTACCACGAGGTCGTCGGTCAGGGCAGATGTCCCGTCGTCGACACTTTCTGGCAGACAGAGACCGTAAGTGACATCTGCCTGCAATCAACACACAAATCAGTTATATTTCAGAGTCATTTTTAGAATTATGTTAAGTCAATATGCTGTTTAGTTAAAAATGGTTACTTGAAAGTTACAGAAAAACATCTAGAGCCAATGTTTAGTTTGTCTGCTCTGAGTTAGTGTAGACACATGGCGGTGCAACGTAGTGTTAAAGAGAGGACCTGCTCACTATGTAGATCAGAAGGGCTCAGTCTAAGCATACTAAAACACAATTCTGTTTCTTTATGTGATTATAGTACTGGAAACATAGTTATTAGATGTCCCTAAATACTACATGCTGTCCCTTAAAGTTACAGATACACATTTCTGAGTCTCAGGTGCCTTTAAATGTCACTTTATTCCTCTACAGGGAGGTCATGTGTTGACTCCTCTGCCTGCCGCCACGCCTCTGAAGCCAGGCTCTGCTGTAAGTGACAACATGGATTACATAATACTCTTTTTATGCTTATCTGTAACACACCAGCATCTACTGAGTTAGTTTCATCAATACATCTAATGCTGGCAAGGACAGGTTAGACTGAAACAATGATTCAACAGTTGTTCATAACATTTCAATTTGGCCTTTGCAGATTATGATCAAGTTTATGATCTGAAAGAAACATTTATGAGCTTTTTATTGAGAGAATCAAGTTGTATCCCCTTTAAATCCACATCTCATATTTCAGACCTTCCCTTTCTTCGGGGTAGAGCCCGCAATCCTCAACGAACACGGGGAGGAACTGGAAGGCGAGGCTGAGGGTTATCTGGTACGTTTTAAATCATCTCTATGTAACTTTGCAGCAGCAGTAATACCTCTCTTATATTTATATGTATTTTCTGTGCTTTGTTACAGGTATTCAGGAGGCCTTGGCCTGGCATAATGCGCTCAGTGTACAGAAACCACGAACGCTTCGAGAACACATACTTCAAGAAATTCCCGGGCTTCTATGTAACTGGTGATGGTGAGAAATGAATAACACTCAACTTCACCCACCTGCTGCACAGACTGTGTGTCAGGAGAGTCTTTAACCCTTATGTTGTGTTCGGGTCTCCCGTCACCCGTTTCAAGTTCAAATGATATAATAACTACGCTCTAGTTTTTTTTATCGGAACAAGGCTTCATGATATCCTCCACAACAGCTATATAAACACTACAAAACTGATTTTGACAATTTTAGCCAAGTCTGAAAGTCTCTAAAAAGAAAGTGTATCATTTGATGTTCGGGTCTGGGGAGACCTAGCAGAATTGTTTTGGGTGACTCGAGGTCAAATTTGGCCCAATCAAGATTCATCTTTGACTTTAGACACCCCCACCCCCTTCATCAACTGTAACAATACTTTTTCGCAACACTCACCTGGTCTCCCCTCCCTCTGGCCCCCTCCCCCCACGGGAACTCCACCTTTCTCAAAGAATATGTACACTAACACTTGAACCTGAACACACACATGCACGTGTGCAATATGTGTTGTAATGTGTTTTGGGCCATAACATTAAATTACAACAGGATTGTACGGTTATGAATGCATTATAAGTTA